TTATTTTGCTGAGTGATTACTTCAAATAAATGTTTCTTGTGATAACAATTATGGTGCACCTAAACCCTGACGGGACTTGATAAAGCACCATACGTGTTCAGTCCATTTACCACATTTCTCTACTTACATCTGTTGCCTTCTTCTCTGCTTGCTCCAGTTTCTCCTGAGCATCCTTCAGTGACTCGGAGTATTTGTCCAGCTCATCTTCCACTCCTTTGAGCTTCTTCTGCAGTCCCAGCAGCTCCTCCTCAAGCTGCACAAGGCCACAAACACACAGGCACATGTCAAATGTACACAAAGAACAAACAGCTGGCGTCTTTACTGTTCTACCACAAATGATGAGTTTATTGTTCTTACAGAAATACAACAAAGGAATGCTAACAGATTTAGACAGGGTTGTTAATCTCTTCATCAATTAGATCACTTTTAATTGCCTATCATAATGTTTACACATGAAAGTTGCATCACTTCTTTTATTTTGCTTCCATTTCTATTCGTTCTTTATAATATTCATTGGCAGTTCAATATTCAACAATACTTTATTGATCCCAAATGGAAATTACATAAACTTTAATTTAGATTCAGTCCAGTTCAGTCTGTGTATTTCACAGAGAAACCTGCATGGAAGAGGTGTGCAGCGACACCAGAACCTGCACAGACATAAATACAACTAACTGACTACGAACAGCATTTTATTGACGTCTGACAGTGTTCAAAGTAACGTCCACATAGCATTTTTTGGTTCTGGTTGTAGTGGCTGGTCACATGATGTGTCCCTCAGATAAGACCTACATTTTCTACTTGCCATTCATTCCACAAACATGAGCCTGAAAGAAACTGATGTGTTGCGCAGGGTTTGATCTGGATTTTACTTGAAGATGAGGAGAACAGAAGACACATTTTTAAACTTTACCCTTCTAATTCAATATGATTTTAACAAACACCTTGCTGATAAGGTGCTGTTCAGATTTAAATCAACATTATCAGTTCCTTTTGTTTTTCTGTCAGTGACCGTGTCTCCAAAAATCATTGCCGCTTTAAGAACTATAAAAAGATTGTTGTATACCACAGCTAGACCTGCTGACAATATCCCCAGAACAAATGTCCCCTCTGCATCACCTGTGACAGCCTGTCTCAGCCTGTAGCCATGTAGGGCCTCTGGCTCACAAATAGAACTGGACTTTTCTAATCCTACATTCAGAGCGGTGGCTCCAGAACCAGCTGCACTCACTCCAGGAGCTGTGACAATTCAAAGAAGGTGGGGGTCTTCAGGGGTAACACAGAAATAGATGTCCCGTTAATAACAGTTTGTAAGTAGAGAGGAGTCAGGGCGTGGGCATTGTGATCGCTTCAAGCTGCAGTCCTCTGGGAACAATCTGCAGTTGTTCAGCTGAATGACTGCTGTCTATAAAAAGACTCCCAGATGATCCTGTCAAACACTGTGAAGATGCAAAATCCTCACTGTGTTCTGCAACAGAAACATGGAATTAACAATCTTATGATGCTACGAAGACTTCAGGCTGCTGGAGAAGATACTGATGTTGTGTAACAAAAAGCCTAACTTCAGTCATGTATAAAAACTAGTTTTTCCTATCTGAAATGAGGTTTTCTAAATCCAGCACCGCTCTTAGAAAAGTGACTGCTGCACATGGGCACCAGTGACCCCCCTGACTTTAAAAGGAAGAAGTGTGTAAAACATATCGGATCTCTAAGTGATGTAAACTAGTGGTGTCCTGATGCTGATACAGGCTGAATGTCAGCTTTTTTTTACAAATACTTATACTTGTTTTAAAAAAATGCCCTGATACCAGTATGGATACTTGGATACTGTCAATACTCCACTGAATGTGTTACAGTTTACATTTTAAGTGAAATGTTTGAGTACGCTTATTAAATTAATACAAGTTGAAAGAAAATGTTATTTTTATTCATTATAATATGTTGCAACAGTACATATCGTGCTGTATATTGGATGTGATCAGTCAGAGGGACTGTAGCCTATAAGGAAGGAGAGTCACCTTGTTCCAAATAAAAGAAATAGGTTTTTAAAGGGGCGATATTATGTTCTTTCCAAGCCTATATTTCAATTTTATACTAAAATAAAGTAACTATGTCACATTTTCAGCTTATGAAAGAGCTATATATTTGTAAAAAATCCCCAAAATAATTTACTTCTCATCTTGACGGCTTCTAAACGCCTTGAAATAGGTCTCTGTCTCTTTAAGAAAATCCAACCACTTCGGTCATGCCTATTTCAGCACATAGCTTGCCAGAGTCACGGAGCGGGGGG